AACTATATGCAGAAAGTGGAAATGAAGATTATTTACTTCTCAGAATATTATATATTTCAAATTAGACAGTTGATAAAGTTGCACTGTGTCCCTGAAGAAGACTGACTAAAGAAGACCTCTCTTGGTCATTTATATAAAGTGAATGGTGTAAGCATTTAGCACTACGTAACAGTGGTGGATCTTTTCTGGTTATTATATTTCAGCGTTTGTGGTAGTGTTTACATTAGTTTTATTAAGATTTGCTACTCCCTGAGGGGACATCACAACCTCAGTATTAGTGGTCTTCTGGACTGTAAATCATCAAACTTCTCTCATAGTCATCATCGAAGTATCTACCTCAATATTTTTTTAAATGAGACCCATGAACTTCAAATGGGTGTGGTGGATGTATCAATGTGCATTCATGACATGCTTTTGTCATGAGTTGGGTTAAACTGTACTAAGCTCTAGGTTTGTGGGAAATAACTGTGTGAAACCTAGTGTCATCTCAGGTAATTGTGACATTTTCTCTACTAGTAATCATGAATCACTTCTCCCTCCATTCATATTGTTACTCATATTTCATGAAGCTAAGACTGGACCTTCTCCCTCAGGACAGACTGCCCTTCTTCCAAGGCGAGTACTTAGAGCAGCAAAGGTAGAAGGAGACTCACACCTTGCTCTGGCATCTGCTCCAAGTTTGGTGATTACTAGAGAGGCTTGTCACCGCCAAAGAGTTGTCATATTCTCCTTTTTTGTACCTCTCCTTGTCCATGTCTTTCTTTTTTTTTTTTTTTTTTTTTGCTTTTCTGTCTCCAGTTTTTCTTCATGACATTCAGTGTATTAATTACTACTCTTTCAGTACTTCCTCCACAAGACCTGTCAATTCATATGTATTCACTCTTCCTGGAAGGATGAGAGGATAAACCAGAGGACTTTGTCAGCTAAGGTTTCCAATGCTTTCACATCTTACAGTGTGAAGTACACTTGATTTTGAAAAATACAACCTAATTTGTTGTAAATGGAAAATTTCAAAAAGTTTACTGAGTTCTTCTGTAGATTAGGTCCAGGACTTAAAACTGTATTGTATCTTATTACATCTCATTACATCTTAAAGTTTGCTAAATTTAAGGGCTAGAGGTTATCACAGGAATGAACTTCCTGAAGGCAGTGAAAACACCTTCTTCTGCATGCAAAAAGTGCCTGAACTCAAGTAGGTATTCAGTAGATAACAAGTGAACGTTAAAAATAAGTTTTTAAACAAGAACGTTTATCGCTCCCTTGTTAAGGAGAGTTGGGGGCCTGGTGGTACAGTGGTTAAGAGCTTGGCTACTAACCAAAAGGTCAGCAGTTCCAATCTACCAGCCACTGCTTGGAAGCCTTATGGGGCAGTTCTGCTATATCCTATAGGGTCACTAAGAGTTGGAATCAACTCAACGGCAAGGGGTTATTTTGGAGTTAAGGAGAGCACACCTTCGTTCTTGATACGTGATGATCCTTTGCATTTCTGTAGTACTGTAACACTTGTACTCTATGTGACTTGACATGACCCCAGATTTGTCATAGCCTGGCTCATAGCCAAGGATCTGCAGAACTGGATTCTCCTTCTTGGCCATTGTTCCCTAAAGAATCAGTACCAATGATCCAGATCACATGTAGTTTCCAGAACGGAATTGGGGTGCGTGAAGCAGTCCAAGAGAAAGGAATGGAGCATTAACATAGTTCTGAACTCCCCATAATCAAGGAAATTCTATTTTGTTACTATTTTATTATGTCAGTTGGTAGCATATATTTGATGTCTAAGTATACACTGACCTGGAAAACCATTATTGATTTTCAATCTAGATAATGTGCTTTATAGAGTATATGTCCATCTAATAGCAGCCCTGGTAGTACAGTGGTTAAAACACTCAGCTGCTAACTGAAAGGTTGTCGGTTCGAACTACCAGCTGCTCTGTGGGAGAAAGAGATACGGCAGTCCGCTTCCATAAAGATTTACAGCCCTGGAAACCCTATGGGGCAGTTCTACTCTGTCCTGTAGGGTTGCTATGAGTTGGAATCGACCTGATAGCAATGGGTTTGGTTGGTTTTGGTCCATCTAATAAGAATTAGACTGATTTCAGTAGGAACTATAAGGAAACCTGGAAAATTCAGTGAAAAGTAATCACTTCTTCCGTGGTGGTTACCCTGCTTTGTGGTTGAACACCAAATCCTGTGTATGGAATTGACTAAATTGTTATTTAAAAGACCCAGGGCTACCTGTAGAAGGGCACCCTATAGAAGGGCACCCGTTTAGCAAATTCATAGTCTATATATGAAAGTATAGACTTTTCTCATGAAGGCCTGTTAAAGTACATCTTTGTCCATAAATCCTGTATTTCAGCGTCTAAAAGGTAAGAATCACCTGAAGCTTCATAACATATTACTAAACCGTTGATTATCAATAAACAAAAGGAGTGTCTTTTTTAAAATATGTTTATAATTAAAAAGTAAGTTTAAACTATTAAGCGAATGACTAATAAACTCTTACAGGTTTATAGGGAAGAAAGCAAGGGAGTAAAATTCTGACGGCAAAGAAATATATGTTTCCTTTTGAGTCCCACTTTATATAAATGCTGAATCTTAAAATTTGAAGCATCTACTGATTTTTACTATAAAGGCAAGATGAACTTAAACATAGAAATCCAACGAAAATAATTTATGCTGTTTAAGCAGTAGTTCCCTGGGTATTTTTCAGCTACTAATTTTGTACTTTTCCCAAGCGATTTCTGAGTTTTCTGTGTAGGCATAAAACTTTAATGCATTTTAAAGTCGTTTTCTCTTGGGGAAGAGAATAGTTCATTTTAAGTTATTCACTCTCTAAAAAATGGGATTGATCTTTGGAGAACAAAATCTACAAAGGATATTGCCCAGAATCACATTCTACCTTCTAAAAGTGGACTTGGGATTCATGAGAAGCAAGAATGAGGCAATCCTGTTTCTCCAATGAATACCTCCATTATGTGATGATTTGATAATTTACTGCCATCTGGTGGATATTAGTAGATGTGTCAGTAGATAGAGTAACATCATACAGTCTAGATCTAAATTTGAGTACATTTTCTTATTCTGAATTCATGTTTTTATGCTAATGAAAGTGTTGTCTTCTCATTCTTCCTCCCCCAAAAAAGCCCTCAACCCACTCTAAATAAAAAATATCCCCTCAGTTTTTGCAATGAAAAATCCTAAATCTCTAACTCATATACAGTTATAAAACCAAAAAACCCATTGTTACTGAGTCAATTCCAACTCATAGCGACCCTATAGGACAGAGTAGAACTGCCCCATAAGGTTTCCAAGGAGTGGCTGGTGGATTTGAACTGCCAACCTTTTGGTGAGCATTGAAGCTCTTAGCCACTGTGCCACCCATATACAGTTATACAGGTATTTATTCACATAAAGTGTATATATATTTTTCCTGAAGCATTCATATACCACTGCTGGCATGGCATACATATGCGAAAATTGGTGATACTCAATATGGGATGTAAAATTTAAGTTTTAATTTGTAAGGCAGACCGTTAGATTTGGATGCCCTCCTGTGTTCACAAGATGAACTACAGACTAGTGAAGTTTTTTGGTCCATTCTAAAGTGGTTGCTGGCATATTTTTCACTGAGTCCTTGAAGTAGCTTTTACAGCAGTGAAGATTGGCTGACCTAAGTCAATGCATGCCCTCCTGTAGTGCTCTGTGACTCCAGGTATGCCCTGAAAGCAAATCCCAGATTCTCTGGGCATCATCTTTGATCCTGGAGACTTTTCTCTCCTTCTCCTTTGCAAAATCTATCTGACCTATGAAGACATTATCGTATTACTTTGCTTCATTAGCACTATATCCTAAGATTTTATAGTTTTTCTCTTCCCAGTTGGTCCAAACTACCACTTCATGAATGTATTTTAGAAAAATAGCAGGGCCATCTTTAAAAAGGAAATAAATTTTTGCCACAATTCCCAGCATGAGCTTGAATTCATTTGAAGCAGTCCCTGAACAATTTTTCAAAACATTACTTTTTCAGATGAGACGGACAAATCTAATCCCCTGAAATTATTTGCTTAATCCATTTATGATTGCTAAAGTGGGATTTTTATTAACAAGCCTAAAAAAAAAAAAATACTGATAGTTTTGTTTGTCCTCCAATGTTTTTCTCTGATTTGGAATTTTAAATTATTCTGCAGCTTCTCTGATAGCAAAATCTCTGATTGTTGTTGTTGTTAGGTGCTGTCGAGTTGGTTCTGACTCATAGTGACCCTACTGGACAGGGTAGAACCGCCGCATAGGGTTTCCAAGGAGTTGCAGGTGGATTCAAACAGCTGACCTTTTCGTTAGCAGTCATAGCTGTTAACCACTGTACCACCAGGGCTCCAAATGTCTGATAGGAGGCCATATTTATAAATTTAAATTCTTCTCATCCGAAGTCAGATCCCGAACAAGAGAAATAAGTGATACCCAAACAATAGAAGTAACGAGAACTTGAATATATCCTTTATTCTTTCATTTTAGAAAATGAATTTTTATGCCAGATATATTCAAGACATTGTCCTAGGCAATATAGAAGTGAAGAACTATGGTTCTTATGTTTGTAATTTAATAAAGGAAGTAAGACCCATTCAGAAAAAGTAAGATCCATTCAGAAAAAGTTAAGAGGGCATGAAATCAATGCAATAACAGTGGTAAAACAAAACAGGAAATTGAAAAGGGCACAGATCACTTCAGTAGAGATCAGAGTGGGCATAATGGAGGAGGTAGTATTTGTCCAAAGCCAGAATGGCGAGGCAGGACTTAAGGACATAAAGATAGGAGGGAAAGAAGGCATATTTCAGATATAAGAAATGGTATAAACAAGAGCCCCAAAGTGTGAAATTATAACTTTCTTATCTTCTACTGAAATAAAATACAACAAAATGTTTCCTAGAGTTTGTTTTACTTGTTCAAATCTTGGAGGCTGACGGTTGTATCAACAATTATTTCTTTTTTCTCTGAAGTTTGTAGTTCAGAACCAGAAAATGTTCAAGCTGACCCAGAGAATTACACCAGCCTTCTTGTTACATGGGAGAGACCTCGAGTAGTTTACGATACCATGATCGAGAAGTTTGCTGTCCTTTACCAGCAGTTGGAAGGAGAAGACCAAACCAAGCATGAATTTCTGACAGATGGTTATCAAGACTTGGTAACTATAAAACCAATTGTTTTATATATCAATAGCACAATAATTAGTTTAATTTCCAAGGTAAGAAATCACAAATGATTGTGTATTTTTACATTCAGTTTACTCTAAAAGTGGTAGGAAACACTCTGGTAGGGAGCGGGGGAGGGAGACAGATGCTATACTAAAATATGTCAAACCTTACCTTGAATTACACAATGTTCTTTATTATGTTTTGAATTTTAAGGCGATCATGATTTTGTCAACACCAAAAATATGATCGAGTAAGATCCATACGGAAAGCTTGAAAACTGGAAATCATATAGTATAGCCCCTCTTTACAAATAAAGGGACCTAGAGAACAGTTAGGGGCATTGGTATAGTTCAGTGGTAGGGTTCTCATCTTCTGTATGGGAGACCATGGTCCAATTTCTGGCCAATGCACTTTATGTGCAGCCACCACCCACCTGTCAGTGGAAGCTTCTGAACAGGTTTCAGTGGAACTTCCAGACTAAGATAGACTAGAAAGAAAAGCCTGGCGATCTGCTTCCAAAAATCAGCCAGTGAAAACCCTGTAGATCACAAGAGTCTGATCCACAGCTAATCATGGGGATTGCTCAGGACTGGGACTCATTTTGTTCCATTGTATGTGGGGTCACCAAGAGTCAGGGGCTGACTCCACAGCTGCTAACAACAACACAGTTAAATACCGTAACTAAGATCTCACAGCTGTGGAAAGAGTCAAGCGTCAGGCCTAGAATCTCATTGCCCTCATATGTTGCTTATTGTTTCCCTTATCACACTACACTAGCACAGGAAAAAGAGTAGGGAACTCTGCAAGTTCTTTTCTTTGCATCAAATAACCAGGCAACTGCTTCAAAGTCATGAATGGGTTAGAACTTTGGCAATGTGATATAGGTAATTCTTATGAAAAGATTCCCCCCGTCCTTCCCCCTCAACACACATAAACACAAATTCAAGAAAATAAATATAAATTCCTTCTGTTGCCTGTGCATCTCAACTTGAAGCTTTGCCTTAGCAGAGGAGAGTTGGCCATAGAGTGGAGTGTAGTTGAGATGATCTCATCTGGGTGTGTCTTTGGGAAGGCTGCATAGCTTTCCCCATTGCAAGTGAAAGGACACTAGAACCTGCAGGCAGGCAACTAGTCTTGCAAGCCCTAGGCATTTAAATAAAAACTGTAATCATTATCACGGTGTTTAATCTCATATGAATAAAATGGATAAAAAATTTTAATAAGTTTTTTATTCAGTTGTCTTGGTAGAATATAGAGATACTATGAGCTGGGAAGGTTGTGGGATTTATAAGTATATAATATTTTTCTTTTCATAATTATATGATGAAGATAATAATTCTATCACTGTCTTGCATACATATTGTCAGAATAAAGGAGTAAATTGGTTTTTCAGTGCGTTTTTCACATTGTGCTTCTTATTTGCAAATGCGACACATTTAGTTTGTATAAAATATTAATTTGCAGTTTGGGATAGTCATTTATGAATTTAATGAGTTCTAGTTTATAATAAAACTTTTAAAAACTAAATCTTATGAAAAAGCAAGAAAAAAAAAATTTAGTTTCCCAGCATCTTTGTATAGATATCACAAGCTCAAGTTCACATTGCAGAGGCATTTTCTTAGGTTCATAAAATATAAATATTTTCCATTGACAAATGAAAAAAAGATTTCTAAGAACAGATGTCTAGTATGTTAGTACCACTATGAGAATAACATATTTGTATAATTACTATCATCTGTCTTTTAGGGTGCTGTTCTTAATAATTTACTGCCCAATATGAGCTATGTCCTTCAAATAGTAGCTGTATGCACTAATGGCTTATATGGAAAATACAGTGACCAGCTGATTGTCGACATGCCTTCTGATGACCTTGGTAAGTGCCCGCCTGGTAAACTTTCATATTATCGAAATAAATGAGGCTAGTTTCATTTCTGGATGCACTGGTGCTTTCTCTCTGCCTTTATATTCTTTTGGCCAAAAGGCAAAGTGATTTTCTCTTAAGTCTGGACCACCAGGTAATTTTGTGAAGTATGGAGCCCATTCTCATTCGGCCAATCTGGTGCAGGATCAATAAGTAAATTGACTCTTAATATCGAAGATTGTTATTTGTAAGTAAGAACAGCAAAACATATTTATAATGTTGGTAACGTCATCAAATGAAAACTAGTATGTGAGTACTGAGACTTTTATTTTAAATAATTGAGTTGGTTTCATTTGTTATTTCTTTTCAGCCCCCAAATCATTTTGTAGTAAGTATATGCATGACCCTAGCATCATGTGAGGTACTTTGAAATATCTATACAAAGCATCTCAACAGCTTATCTGAAATAACTTTATCTACTTTCTATAATTTGGGGAGCTTACCTCATCGTTGATTTGCCAGTACTGTTTCATACACAAACACACAAAAAATTGTTTCTAACTGTATTTTATTTGCATGCGTCTTCTCTAAGTATTATGGGAAAATCTTTTGATCTCAAGCATATGCAATAATTGAATTCCCTTGTGGTTTATTGAGAAAATAAAAGCTGAGCATCGTAATCCGACAAATTATATAATTGAATTAGAGTTTTCCTTTTGTCGATACACAGTTTTAAAGTAATAGAATGAAAGTATGTGTGTGTGTGTGCGTGTGCGTGTGTGTGTTTGCATACAGACAGACATACATGCATACATAGATAAATGTAAAATATTATTTGGTCATTGCTAGCATAATACTACCCATTGAAATTTTTACAAGATTTTAGTGCAAATGAATGGTTACAAATTATATAGTTTTATGTATGGAAGGAAAACTGATGTATACTGGTTTGCCCTTGTGGTCTAAATGAGTATAGTAGGGTCTTTAATCCAGTATGAGCTTAAATAAAATGTATGTTCATTGATCACCTCTCCATAGTTGTTCAGACTAGTTGAATGTTTAAGTTGGAGAATGTACCTGTCAGAGCATAAGACATTAGATGTGAGAATATGTATCCTTCCAAACCACAGCCTATAAAACTTACCAAGATGTCTCCCAAGTTAAAAAGTTGATAGCTAATGATTGTTACTATTATCGTGATAGCTATATCATTATTTAATAATAATTCTTATGACCTCCATATGGGATACGTTTTTCCTATTGCCATCACTTAGCATTGTTTTCCAAAATCAGGTTAATTTTAGATGAAAAGCTCTAAGCCTTAATAAAAGGCGAGTATTAAATTAACTGACCATGGTTATAACTGTATCATATCATGCTCCTCCACTGAAGATCAGCCTTCGCCTAAGTTCCCTGTATTGATCACCTAGAAAATGACATCTGTAGCAATGCAACATTGACCATGTTGGCCAATATCATATGTGATTTGATTAAATATGACATATAAGAAATATACTCTATCCTTATGTGTGTGTTTAACAATACAGATTATATTGAACATATTCCTTTAATTTTACTATCCTGGATTTACTTATACCAGTCTAATTTAAATATATAAAACAATTTTTCAGAAATTTAGAAAAAAATAAAATACACGTTTAGCTGTTTCTTTTACGCTCTTGATTACCAGGCCAGAATTTTAAACCTTCTGCATATCGTTTTGTTCTTTTTTTTTTTTTTTTTGAGAAGCTTATTGCATATGAAAAATGAGATCAAAATCTGTTTTTCACAGAAGTGATTTCTGAATGATCCTTTTAGATTGAGTCTATTGGCACAAAGTACAAGATTTTTGTATCATTTGTAGTACTTTCACATTTGTTCAAAATAATAAATATTCTAACTTAATTTCTATTACTTATTCAAAGGATTGGGACGCTATTGAACATTGTAATACTAAGATGCTAGTTTGAACACATCATTTAATCTCCATGGACGTCTGAGTCCCTTTAAGTATTCTGTACAGCAATGATTTTCTAGTAAAAGATGGCATTTTATTTAATGTTTTGATATATACCTTTAAAAGCCAAGAGTTTTTTTTTTTAAAAAAAACTTCAGGTAGATTATTCCTTAATTATTTCTATCAAAAATTCTTCCATCAAAAGCCAATTTAACCAAAATTTGTGGTCTTCCTATTCTTTATAAAGAAAATATTAGTTCTCTTAGAGCCCATTCTTTCTGATTTTAAAGGCTGCAGTAGCATTTCAATTCATATATTTGCAATTCTGTATTGAAATTGTATTATCTTAAATATTGTTTCTATGGCAACTATATCACAGTAAAAATCTTGACAACAGTACTATCTTGTGGTTTGTAGTGATAGTACTGACAAGATTTGTGACTTTTGTGATTGATGTGGCTTTTGAGTTTGCCGTTTACTTTATGATTTTTATTATTAGTACCATTTCGTCCTGTTAATCGTATTGTTCCATTTTCTTAGTAACATTGTAGTATACCTCATTTAATTATTTTAGTATTATTTAGTATGTGTTGTTTTCTAAATGCTGTATTATTGCTTTTGTTTAAAAAAATGAAGGAGGTAATTTATAAATGCCCTCATTCTTTCTATTATAGAGTTCAAATAGTCTAATAAAGATCTGTGAAGGAAAATTCAATTTTCCAAATTGTGTATTTAACTTTGGCTGATTTGGTTAATTTATGTCAATGTAAATGTTGTTGTTACGGTGGCGCAGTGGTTAAGAGCTTCGCTGCTAACCAAAAGGTCAGCAATTCAAATCCACCAGCTGCTCCTTGGAAACCCTATGGGGGCAGTTCTGCTCTGTCCTACTGGGTCACTATGAGTGAGAATTGACTCGATGGCAGCAGGTTTGGTTTTGGGTTTGGTTATGTGCAACATTATCACCATAAACTGATGCCCATGAGGTCTTATTTTAAATTGTTAGTTTAAAATAAATGCAAAAATTTATATTCTGAAACAAATAATTTAAATTAGTCAATGAAATCTTATTGTTAAGAAATGTATATTCTTTTAAAAGACTTTGTAGAAAAGTATATTTATGAATAAACAATTCATAAATATATTTATTTCATTGAAACTAAGGTAATTGTATTCATTTCTCTTCTGTCATGTAGAGATAATTATTGTACAGTTACAGAGGATGTTATTTAAATACATATTTAGGGTCTTAATAATTAAATGCGTAGCGAATTAGATCCACACATGCGCCCGTTACTGTGTGTTTTCAGTTGTAAAACAATTGTCTTTGTTAAATCACTGTACATCTCTCCTTTGTCTGCCTGTATCATCCTGTGCTATTGGTGTTATTATGTAATGATATTTAAGATCATAGTCTGAAGTGATTGCAGTCTGCATTGCTTTTACCTTTTGCCCTGTGAAACTTGGCTTACCTTCAAACAATTAAATAAGCCTTGCTTGCCAACCTTCATCAGTGTTGCTTTTTTGTGTTTTTGAGTGTTAATGTGTTATTAGCATGTTATTTTAGAATATCTAGCGTTCCGTGTGCCCAAAAACAAAACCAGAATGAGCCAATATAGCCTTTGTTTCATTATTACACAAATGTAAATTTTAAGCATTCATGCAAAAAAAAAAAAAAAATTAAAGAAGATATTGAGTCTTCACTATCAGTTAGACTTTTTTGTAGCCTTCATGGAATCTGTTTTGATGAAGTGAGAAGATCCTACAAGCCAGTATAATTTTTAAACTCTTTAATATACCAGTGGGGCCTGAGTCAGACCAGTAGCTGCTTAAACACCACTGTTAGGAGGAAGCAGCAGAACAAGTGGTCCCCAATATGCGACTTGGTGCCAGTCAGCAGAGCCAGACTTTGGGTGTCATGGTCTTGGATTTCTAGAACCAAAAGTATGGCTTCAGAATCTCTAGAAAGATAGAAACAGTCTTCCAAAAGTTATTTTATTTCAAAATAGTTATGGGGAGACTCAGTAAAAGATTTCTAAAATATTTTGGTCAGGAGATATTGAAGTATTCCTGAGCAGGCACAGAATTTCAGTTAATTCAAATTATCTGAGTGCAATAGGAAACCAGAATGAAGATTCTTCCTGCGAAGTAGACTGATACCAATATGAAGGCACCCATACTTGGCATAATCACCCATGAGAGTGCCATGAAACAAAAAGTTCTCGGAAGCTGCTTGGGCCCACACATACTACCCATTAGGCTTAAAGGGGGCCCAAAGAAAACTTCTTACTGCAGTAAACAGCAAAGCCAGTTTTAGTAGAACTCATTGGTACACTTTAAGAGTTATGGTTGGCCAAGATCACGTATTTGAACATAATAGAAACTGTAATCCATATATTTAGTTTATGCTCTGGTAAGAGGGTAAAAATAAACACAATACACACTGAGAATATTGAAAGAAGAGGAAATTAGACTTCAATGTGATAATTATGCATACCCCACCCAGCCCTGGCAATTAAATAAGAAAATAGCCTTTTCCCATTAAAAGTACGTTGAAGTACAATGTTTTTATTTTACAACACCTCCGAAAACATGTTAAAGAGAATGGACTGTTGTTAAGATTTTTTTTTTTTTCCTGTAGCCTCCTTAACAGAAAGTTACAGTAGGATAATTTTGTGGCACTAATAGGTATTTGATTATGATTTACCACTAATAGATTTTCGAGTTTTAGCATTAAAGTATTTTAAAAGTACATAAAAATTGACCATTTAAAAGCATTTCCAATAAATCTGAGTATCGTCTCAAATGCTAAATTTGAAGAATTTTACGTGCTTGAACTTCTCTAATTGTGGTATTTAGAATATCATATTAAAGGTTCTTATTTGTCACAGTTTAGAGACATCTCATTTTTAAATTCACATTTATTGGTTTCCTTGGAGGTTATGGAGATGCAAGGGTTTGAGACATTGAAATTACTTTAGTATGGAAACATAGAAATTAAAAAGTATGAAGAGCAGTGGGTGAAAAAGGGCTTTCATGGGACAAAAGTAGAAAAAGGAGAAATTAATGATTCAAATAAAAATTTTCAAACTCCTTTCTGGTCAATTTTAACAAGAAAAAAATACTTGAGAGTTAAAATTTAAGACCGTGATTGTTTCTAGCGAGTATTGTCATTTTTATAGCAGAGAAAATTGTTTAGGGTAAGTAATGTTGAAACAGCTAAGAAGTCAAGAGTATTAACTTTATCTAAATCCCCCCGGGGGCTGGGTCGACTTATAAATTTATTTGACTTCTCTTCTGAAATGAATTTATGGATGTAACTGCATTTTATGGTTTTATGTTGCTTAATACCTGGAAATTTTCTGATAAAAATAGCTCAAGTAAGTTTGTCTGTATTGCAAAACAGGCCTGGACTTGATAAACATTTAATGTTAGTTACAGTTACGCCTTTGAAATTTTTAGCAAATTTGCATTTCCTTTGGGGGCATGTAAAGGCATAAAACTTAGATCACAAGCGTCATTGGGACAGTGAAGAACATGAACTTTGCAGATGGAGAAAGATTCTGTAAAAGTATAGGAATAAAAGGAGCGTCATCATAATGCTCAAGCCCTCACTATCACTTTGTCTACCATCTTCCCAGTGACCTAGTCAGCTCAGATAAAGACTCAGGAAAAATTCTCCTCTGGCCCCTCAGTAATTTGGCAGTGTGACTAGATCCTTTGTTGGTGAGAGATAGCTAGGTCTTTCCTAATATTCCTGACAGGTCCTGTGGTAGCATTGAGATATCTAGGTATAGAAATATATTGATTCTGATCTGTTGGGGAAAACAGACTTGAATGATCCTGGTCATCTCATTTTTTGCATAGACAGCATTACCTCAGTTCCCTGGGGAGAATGTTTGGGAATCACACTGCTCAGTCCTTCCCACTGCCAGCCCAGGATGGGACCTGCTGGAAGGAACCCAGTCACTCTCCATTGACCTGGTGCAGCACCCCATATATAAACAGATATGAACCCAAATCCGAAGAATGCAAAGGATTATTTTTTCCTCAGAAGAGGAACTTAAGGAAGAGGTATCTGAATAAGAAGATAGAACCCCCCAAGTCTACAGAAAATCCCTGGCATTTTCCCAGCTATGCTTTTTTTTTTTTTTTTAAAGTCCTCCTTAGGCTGAAAGTAACTACACCCATGAGAAATTATTTAGGTTGCTTTACACTTAGTTATTTCAGCCTTATTGTCCCCCTCTCCTTTTTTAGCTATATTCAGACTTGGAGTGGGAGTGAGCAAGGGATTTAGAGTGGAGAGAAAGATCAAGATTTTGAATGCAGTTACATATAGGTGTGTGTGGTGTTATAGAGAGTTTAGTATTGTGTTGAAAACTAAAATTTGAAATTTTTATTTTGAGATATTCTGCATTTTCAAAGCTAACAATTTTTATTTTCTTTTTCCTCTTTTCATCCAAAGGTAAACCCATAGACTGAAATATTGAATAAAATTTTTAATAATTTTGTTTTTAATTTTATAGAACTTGACCCCTTTCCTGAATTAATTGGAACTGAAGAAGTAATCAAGGTATCGTAGTGATTTTTATATTCAGACCTTAAAGTATTTTGAATGATCAGTTGGGATTCAAATGTTGTTGCATTATTCTGTGTTTGTGGGGTGAGTTGCTGATAGTTATGTAATTTATATACATGATTATTTTATGGACAAGCTGGAAGACACTTTGATTAGTATAATACAAAATAACAAAAAGATAGAAAAAGCTTAGTGATAATGAATAAAACAATGTACTTTAAAAATAATTATAGGTATGAACTATAGCTATAAATTAGAATTTTTTCAATGTTCAAACTTTTCTAAAAGACTAAAATAATATTTGACCAATTTTTAATATTGCTAGTTTGTTTATAAATAACTTAACCAATGATTAATAGTTTGATAACAAATATGAGTCAAAATATAAATTATATACCTTCTTTTACCCATATAATTTGATTATTTGTGTTTAGATGATTCTATTCATATCGTATCTGTTCCTAGCACAGTGTCCTCCAAGTGAATAGGTACTTAAGGAATACCTACTAATTTTAACGTCTTAACTTTAAAATAGAAAGAAAATGATGTATCTTATATTAATTACATTCTAAGCTCAAATACACTGTTCATTTCTCAATACACCTTCTCCTTACTTATCGACTATCTCATTTTCTGACATTTCACATTGATGACAATAGTAAAAAATTTACTTTTGAACTATTTTGCACATTAATGACATCTAGCAGTAACAGATGCCGAGGTGCAAGGCAAGAGTAACACTGGCTTTGATGATTAAGGTTATGTGTCAACTTGGCTGGCCATGATTCTCAGTGGTTTGGCAGTTATGTAATGGTGTAATTTGGAAGTTGTATAATGATGTAGTCATCCTCCATTTTGTGATCTGATGTGGTCATCCTACATTTTCACATAATACGGATTTTGCATAACAACCTAGTCTTTTGGAACTTAACCATGTCAATAAGTGAGGAGAGGGTGTATATCTTTTTCTTCCTTCATTTTACTATAAGCAGTAAGGAGAAACTGTGCCACCCCTTTAAGATCTTGCTTAGAAATCTTCTCAGCCAAATATATAAGTTCATCACTTACAAGCTCTACTTTCCACAAAACAATCAAGTGTAATTCACACAAGTCCTTTGCTACTTTATAACAATGATTGTCTTTCCTCCAGTGTTCACTAGCATGTTCATCATTTCCTTTTAAAGCTTCACCAGAAGTACATTTAATGCTCACATTTCTTGCAACATTCTGTTCATCACAATAGAAGCTTTCTCTATAGGATTCCTCATTTCTTTCTGAGCCCTCATCAGAATCACCCTTAATGTCCATAATTCTATCAACAATCTCTTCAAGGCAATGTAGATTCTTACTATCAAGTACATTACTAGCCTCTGCTCATTTCTCAATTCCAAAACCACTTTCACATTTTAGCTATTGGTTAGAGTAGCACCCCCCACTCTCTGGTACCAAATTGTACCTTAGTTACCTAGTGCTGCCGTAATAAAAATATACCACAAGTAAGTGACTTTAAAGAACAGTAATTTATTATCTCATGGTTTGAGAGACTAAAAGTATGGAGTAGGATTAATGAATGGAATGTTTCTTTAATCTGGGTCTATTAATTCCTTGAAGTTGTGTGTTAAATCTGTATGTGATGAATGACCATTTTTCTGGGGCATTGATCCATTGCCTTAATCAGATTTTAATAGGTATCTGGACTTTATCAAGTTTAAAATATGCTAGAATAGAACAATAGAAGGATGTGTGTGTGTAGTCCCCCCACCCCCGCAAAAAAAAAAAAAAAACCCAACAGAAGAAGAGGTGAATAGATTATATTTTAAGAAAAATTTTATGGAAATCTACATACCTTACGGTAGGAGTGTATTCATGTGGGGAAAAATAAAGCAAAGAGGAAGAGAAATTATATTACTGTGGGAGTCAATAGAGATTGTTAAATCATACAGAGAAAAAAATATGACATGTCTTTTAGGAACTTTAGCAGTGAAGGGGAGAAGAGAAGTATAATGACAGCTGAAAGCTGAATTAGAGGGGGTTTTTAAATATATTCCTCTTAAATAGGAAAGATATGAGTTCATTTAAACTGATGAGACTAACCCATTTGAGAGAACAACATTAAAAATGCAATAGAGAATACTCGCTTGCGTTCAGTTCCCAATAATATGATATGGACTAGATTTAACATACAGATGTAAGAATTAGCTTTGGAAAGGAGGGGAAACAACAACTCTTCAGTTACAACAGGACGAAAGGGGCAAGGGTGGATTTGGTTTAATGTGAGGAAAAAGCGTGGTTTTGTCTGGTGGCTTCTATTTTCTCTGTACCTAAAGAGGAAGGGCATCTGCAGATAATAAGGGGAGAGGATGGGGAAATGGAGATCTGAAGAGAGCAGAAAAAAGTTAGAAAGTGTGTGGAGCGGTACTGGAAAACTAGAAATATACCCAGATTTTCAAAACTTATGAAGGGTTCAGAAACTCCATATTGCTAAGCTTAACCATCGATCCTTAGCAAAACTCTAGATCAGATTATAAAGCAAATGTTTGTGAGAACTTCTAAGGAAAGAAGGGATAGCTGAGCATCAAAAAACTTTTCAGCAAGGGCAAATCAAGGCAAATTGTTCTTATTTCCTTCCACATGAGATTTTTAGGTTTGTAGATTAGGGGAGTAGTTTATTCAAGAAATTATTTGGCAGAATCTCTCTAGTAGTCTTAGTGAACAAGATATCAAACAAAACGCAAAATTTCATGAGGAAGCACTGACCACTAGTAAAGAAATTTGTCTCAGAAAAAGAAGAGCCATTTTGACCGTGTCCATGAGCACACATGGCTTAAGATTCAGATTCTTTCTACTGATACTGGCCAAATTTTCATTGACTAATCTGTACTTGGCACTTTTTTCTTCATTTAATATACATGGCCTGAAGAACTATATCTAATAGATAACAGTGCTACAAATTGTTGGATATGAGGATACTGAAAAAAATCATATCCCATGTGGACCTAAAAAATGATATTTTGATATCTTTGGGAATTTAGTTTCTTAAACATATGATTAGATGTATTATAATGCGTCCAGTTTTCTACAAGACACACAAAGCATGGGTTGACCTCTAGCAAGAATGTTCCTAGGCTATTATAGTGACTATGTGTGATTAAAGCCTGTTTTAGTTGTTAGGTGCTGTCGAGTCAATTTTGACTCATAGCAACCCCATGTGACAAAGTAGAACCGCCCCACAGGGTTTTTCTAGGCTGTGATCTTTACAGAAGTAGATCACCAGGTCTTTGTCCCACAAAGCCACTGGGTGGTTTCAAGCCACCAACCCTTTGGTTAGCAGCCAAGCACTTAACCATTTGCGCCACCAGGACTCTTTTTGATTAAAGCCTAGGGCTCCTGAATGGTGTTTCTAAAGGAAACACAAAATTAAATGGACAGTTTTAGAATCTTATTCTGACAAGGTGCCTTTAAAACATTGCCTAAGTCTTAAGTGGAAAGCGTTAAAAACAAAAGGAAAAAAAAACTCTTCGTGTCCTAAATGTTTTCCTTACAATAACTTAAGAATTATGATTTATTCTGAATATGTATAATTAAATAGTCTGAATATGCAACTACTTTGGTCTTTGAAATAAATAGTTTCATTGCCATTTCATATTACAAGAAGCTCATTGCTATTTAGCTTGCTACCAGATGAACTGAACAAAGAAACATAAAAACAAGAAAATAAATAGCATGTTAAATTACACTCTCAATAAATAAATACAACTACAATATGTCTTCCTTATAAGCCTGTTAATTTAATTACTTCCTCCCATAGCATTTAAATAAAGGCAGCCATAAATAAGATATTTTTATTAAATGTAATCATTCTCCCTAGAGGGTGGATGGTAAAGGTTATAGGATAGAGGATGGCTTCTATGGGATGGTGGTTTATGAGCAGGAAAAAGCTCCCAGGATCACACAAGTGAAGATTAAGAGCATAATGCAGTATAAGATTGACTTGACAGCAGTGGGTTTGCTTTTTTTTTTTTTTTATTAAGACATAATCTTTCTCTTGTTTCCTTGTGTTCTATTAAATTTTGTTTGCTTTTCAAAGGTGGAAGAAGAGGGAAAAGAGATTGAAGAAGACATCATTGTGAATCCTGGTAAAGACAGTGCCACAAACCAAATAAGGAAAAAGGAACCACAGATTCCCACCACAACAAACTACAATCGCTTAGGGACTAAATACAATGAGGCCGAGACTAACCGATCCCCAACAAGAGGAGGTGAATACTCTGGAAAAGGTGATGTTCCCAACACATTTTTAAATTCTACTTCCCAGACAGTAACTGAATTAGTCCCAGAAAAAGATATTTCCTTGGCTTCACAGACTGTAACTCAGCAGCCACATCATGCTGTGAGAGGTACTTCAGCCTCTTTTAATGACGGCTCTAAGACTGCTCTTAGGTTTCCACAGATGAACTTGTCTGGGACTGTGGAATCTTTAAATACAGTTTCTATTACAGAATCACCAGAGGTATCTACTGATATCAGTGAGGAAGAGAATTTATTGCCCAATTTCAAACTCGATAGGGGAGCTGATGATTCTTCAGGCTCCAGTCCTACGACTTCTGCTATGCCATTCATCTCTGAGAACCCAGAGGCAATCACAAATGATGTCCTTATTCCAGAAACTATGAGAAATGCTTCAGAAGATTCAGTCTCATCAGGCTTGGAAGAATCTTTAAAGGATCCTTCCATTGATGGAAACATGTGGTTTCCTAGCACTACAGATGTGACAACAGAGCCCGATGTGGGATCGGGTACAGAGAGGTTTCTCCAGACTAATTACTCTGAGATACATATTGATGAATCTGAAAAGACAACTGAGTCCTTTTCTCTGGACCCACTGGGGTCACAAGTTCCCTCAGTCACTGATATGGAAATGCCACTTTATTCTACCTTGGCCTACTTCCCGACTGAGGTAACACCTCATGCTTTTACTGCATCCTCTGGACAGCATGACTCGGTTCCCACTGTCAACGTGGTTCTCTTGAAGACAACTCAACCAGTACACAATGGTGAGACACCTCCTCAACCTTCCTACAGTAGTGAAGTCTTTCCTCTAGTCACCCCTTTGTTGCTTGACAATCAGATCCTCAACACTACCCCTGCTGCTTCAAGTAGTGATTCGGCCTTGCATGCTACACCTGTATTTCCCAGTGTTGATGTGTCATTTGACTCCATCCTGTCTTCCTATGATGGTGCACCTTTGCTTCCATTTTCCTCTGCTTTCTTCAGTAGTGAATTGTCTCACCATCTGTATACAGCTTCTCAAATCCTTCTGCAAGTTACTTCAGCTCTTGAGAGTGATAAGGTGTCCCTGCATGCGTCTCTGCCAGTGGCTGGGGGTGATTTGTTATTAGAGCCCAGCCTTGCTCAATATTCTGATGTGGTGTCACATCAAACTACTACTCATGCTGCTTCACAGACATTGGAATTTGGTAGTGAAGCTGGTGTCCTTTATAAAACGCTCATGTTTTCTCAAGTGGAACCAGGCAGCGCTGATGTCATGATGCATGCACGTTCTTCAGGGCCTGAACTTTCTCATGCCTTATCCGATAATGAGGGCTCCCAACACATCTCCACTGTTTCTCACAGTTCTGCAATACCTGTGCATGATTCTGTTGATGTATCTCATCAAGGTTCCCTATTTAGCAGCCCTAGCCATGTACTGATGCCTAAGTCTTCATTAATAGCCCCAACTGCAGCATTGCTGCAGCCTACTCATGCCGTCTCTGACGATGTGGAGTGGTCTGGAGCCTCCTCTGGTAGTGAATTTCTTTTACCTGACACACATGGTCTGACAGCCCTTAACGTTTCTTCACCTGTTTCTGTAGCTGAATTTACATATACAACATCTGTGTTTGGTGATGATAATAAGCTGCTTCCTAAAAGTGACATAATATATGGAAATGAGACTGAACTGCCAATTTCTTCTTTCAGTGAGATGGTTTACCATTCTCAAAGCACAGTCATACCCGACCTGTATGAAAATGTAGATAATTTGAATGCGTCTTTACAAGAAACCCCTACTTTCATTTCTAGCACAAAGGGCGTACTCCCAGAGTCCGTAGCTTATACCACCACTGAGGTTTTTGATCATGAAATTAGTCAAGCTCCAGAAAATGATTTTGCCGTTCAGTCTACACATACTGCATCTCAAGCCTTTGGTGACACTTTGCTTAAGCCTGTGCTTAGTGCAACCTCAGAGCCAGCACTCTCTGATCCTGCTTCTAGCGAAATATTATCTCCTTCAACTCAGCTCTTATTTTATGAGGCCTCTTTCAATACTGAAACCTTGCTACAAGCTCCCTTTCAGGCTTCTGATGTTGACAACTTGCTTAAAACTGCTCTTCCAGCTGTGCCTAGTGATCCAATATTGGCTGAAACCCCCAAGGTTGACAAAATTAGTTCTACAATATTACATCTCATGGCATCAAATTCTGCTTTGAGTAAAAACATGCTGCAGTCCACATCTGCGCCAGTTTTTGATGTATCGCCTACTTCTCGTAAGCAATCTGCTTCACTTCAAGGTGTAGCCATTTCTTACGCAAGTAAGGAATATTTTGAACCAGTTTTGCTTAAAAGTGAAAGTCCCCAGCAAGCGGTACCTCCATTGTACAGTAATGATGAGTTGTTCCAAACTGCCAATTTGCAGATCAGCCATGCCTTTCCCCCACAAGTAAGGCATGCGTTTGCTACTCCTGTTTTATCAATCGATGTATTGCCAAATACACCTGTAAATAAGCTGATATATTCTGATGACATTTTCACCTCCACCCAAGGTTCTGTTTCTGATGAGGTATTTGCTGGTATTCCAGCAGTTGTTTCTGATACGCTTGTATCCGCTGATCATTCTGTTCCTTTAGGAAAGGTGTATGTTTCCAATACAGCTGTTTCTCCAAACAGAGATGGTTCTTTAACCACAACTAAATTGCTGTTTCCTTCTAAAACAACTTCTTCTGAACTGACTCACAGTGCCAGTTCCGGTGCTGATTTGGCAGGTGGAGGTGACGATGGTGATATGGATGATTATGATGATGATGATGATGATGACAGAGATAGTGATGGCTTAACCATAAATAAGTGTATGTCATGCTCATCCTATAGAGAATCCCAGGAAAAGGTCATGAATAATTCAGACACCCAGGACAACAGTCTTGTGGATCAGGATAACCTAATCTCACATTCACTATCTAAGAATTCTGAAGAAGAGCATAAAGTCACAGGTGTAACCTCAGACAGTCAGACTGGTATGGACAGAAGTCCTGACAAAATACCACCAACAAATGTGCTGCCCTCAAAGCACAATGATGCAAAGGAGGAGAACGACATTCAGACTGATAGTGCCCTGCTTCCTTTCACCCCAGAATCCAAATCGTGGGCAGTTCTTACAAGTGATGAAGAGAGTGGATCAGGGCAAAGTACTTCAGATAGCCTTAATGATAATGAGACTTCTACAGATTTCAGTTTTCCAGATGTTAATGAAAGAGATGCTGATGGGGTCCTGGAAGCAGGTGACTCAGAAATAACTCCTGGATCCCCACAGTCCTCAACACCGTCTGTTACTAGTGGGCACGCAGAAATGGCCAACGTTTCAGAGGCAGGTTAGTTATGGATCAAAGAGATAGACTGAGGTGTGGTAGTTTTCTTCCTTCCTGGAAAAGTAAAATAGAAAAGTTATGGGAAGATAGAAATTTGGTAGAACGGCACATATCATTTTTTTTAAATAAAAGAAGCCAACAAATTATTTTACAGTTTTTAAAGTATGAGCTTATTCATTATTTAAATGAATACTCAACCAGTTTTAGTCCTTAATTTAATTCTCTCCAAAATAAGTAAAGCGATTTTTATTTATTGTCAATATTTCATATTCTACAGGATGCCTATTTTATGTGGGAGTAATTATGTGTACATAATGGATTTTTATTCTACTGCTTTTTAAATGACAAGATTTGAGTATGCTATTTTTCGATGGTGATTTTGATTTTCATACTTGCATTCTAAAATAAGTTATAAACTAATTCTATTGAATTATAAAATGAATTACAAATTCTGATAGTAATGTGGTATACGCAACGCTTTCTGACCCATCCCATGGAAAGGAATCAGATAATTTACAGATCCACATCCACTTTGGGAGCTTTTAAATAAAAAAGTTCTATCGCTACGTTTTGAAAGCTAATGGTAAGCTAAGAAAGGTTTTAATTTTTTTTTATTGTCTTTGTTTGTTTAATGTTGCCTAAAGAGGGCAGTATGAACCAACAAAATACATTCTATGTGTATTTGCTTTTATACTCCTGAGAAGTTAAGTAATATGCATTAATATGCATACTATGCATAGGCATTGTATGACAAGATGTAAAAACACTAGAACATTTTCTGTAGAAATCATTTCATTTGTTAATGTATTTTATGTAAATTAGGTTTGCTGGCCAGATGTTTCTTAGAACAATTTACTTGAAGCATATATAATACAGATGTTTGCTTTAAAAGCCAAAGGAAAGAAAAGGGAAATTCAGTACCGTTAAGCATATGAAATACTAGATAATTTCATTGCATTGATAGTAAGAATTTTGTAATTTCCTTTTATTATATTGTAAACTATTTTTAAAATTAGCAATGAGCATATTTACATCTTGACAGTAAATCAAAAGATAGGCTAATATAACATCTTGCACTCTTACTGCATAGAAGTGGATATTTATAACCCAGAACATAGATATCAATCTCATTAGGGATATTTTTCTTCTTTGTTATTTGCATGCCTATTTTTCTTTTAGTGCGGCAGCAATTAAAAGTTAATGCACTTTGATAGAGAACTTTTTCTGTATTCTGCCTTGGGACCTATTTATCATTGCATTCCAGTTTAAACACTTAAACTCTGATGTGTAAAAATATATGACAAATTCACAGTTCACTATATTCATTAGTTTTGACATACATATGAATTGTTATCTACCCTCAATTATAATACTTTCTTCGAACATTTTATTAGATTTATTGTAAAGGAAAATATCAGAAACCCATCCATATGTCTGTCTTACTAGGTAGTGACATTATCAATATATTCTTGCTAGATTTTGCTATTATAGAAATACCATATGTATTGCAAAATGCTAAACCTAAAATCGTTGATTAAAATTTAGCAAGTTTCTCTTCAATACATTTAGATTTATTTAATTATTAAGAGCATATTTTCCCACTGGTGGGCAGAAACCAATATGGGTATAATATCCAACATCGTCAAGTAACATAATTAATGTAAATAAGATCAGACAAGATTAGAGAAAAATCCATACCTGTTTTTAAAACTGTATCTGTAAAATATCATATCTATCTCATTCAATAATTGAATACACCCCTTTACCAAGTACATACAGACTAATTCTAAAACTTAGAATTTATGATATATTCCTAGCATGTGGAACAAGTTACAAGATGTGTTCCTCAAAATAACCTAGATAAGGCAGATACTAGGATCTGCAATTTATGAATGAGTAAACAGAGACCCAAAGATACTAGATTATTCGACCCAGGTTACATAGGGAGTAAATACAGAACTGAGACTGGAAAAGTGTTATGGTGTCTGTTTCTTAGAGACTATGTTTTCAGGACTGCGGATGATAATATATATATAATGCTTAAATTGTAACACCAAAATTATACTGTTTTATTCTCAAAACATTTTTAAATATTCATCTTAGATCTTTATTTTCTGTCTACTAGTTGATTCTTGTCTTATCATTTAGGTAATCCATGCACACTACTGAGTCATATCAAAACAGATATTTTCGCCTCAGTTAAATAAAAATAAAAATCAATACAACTAGTTACACCTCAACATAGTATACAGAGAACCAGTTGATTGTACTTTCATGTGGTATCCCATTTTGAATAAAAGACCTAGGTTTCATAATATATAATTACCATGGAATTATGATTCTCCTTCCTCAATTAAAGAGAGTTTTTTCAATCAGGCCTCCCAGAGAGCTTATGAGAAGAGCCCATTTACAAGACTATATGTGTACACGTGCATGTGTGTGTAGTGTATGTGTTTTATGTGATATATACAGTATATATTGTATGTTTTATATGTTATATATGCCTTACGTATCTGTTACATATAGCATTTCTAACAAGTTCCAGGTAATGATGAGGTCACTATTCTGGCAAACACACTTCAAGAACAACTGATGCAGATAACAGTATTAACCAACATTACTAATTACTAGGTACCGGAGACTTTGCTAAGTGGATTGTTTCACGTATTACCCACAGACTTTCCATTTAGGCGACAATAGTTGCAACAGGAAAAATGTGAAGACCACTATGTATAAACTAAGGTGTTTTCCTAAATTTCATATTGAAATTTTCAGTGCGTTTGCCAGTCAGATAACTTAGGCCTCCAGGTATGTCTCACTATAATACATAGTGACCAGGGCATACGAGTGACATAATAAAAAGTGATGCTTTGGCTTTTCTCCCAAGTATATAAACTACAGCTCAGAATCAGCTGGATTACAATATTGTCATCTTTTATACAGTTTTCTAGTTTTCTAGTAACACCTTGGACTGCATATTTTTGCATACATGTTTTTTCTAGCAAATGCATCCATAGTTATAAGTGCAAATTTCTTGGGAAATTTGGGTGTCATTTGTACTACTTTGGCACATTTTCTTTATGAGTAGATTAAATTCTTGGCCCTTTCTTTAATCGTTCTTGGTTATAAAAGTAAGTGATCGTTTTAAAATCTCAGCTTCTCTGCAGTTAGATATATTTTGGTGCTATATTCATGCATTTATATTACCTTCCAATTTCTTATTCTTAAATATTTAAAATTAAATTGATCCCTTCTGTCTTGATAAAATTACCGGTATAAAAACCCCAAATGTGCCAAGAGTAGGAACCAATGTTGACTCTGCTGGGGAACTTAAATATTGTTCTTTCAGAACTTCTACAGGTAGACAGGATAAGAGGGCTTACTTTGTTAACAGTGGCAGCATATCATTGTATTAGAAACAGTTCTAATGTTCAGTCTTCTTCGTTTCCCACTGAACATACCTCAAAGCAGAGGGGAACGATTGTTACTGGCCACTGGTAGGTACTGCGTAGTTCTAAAACTCTTAACAACTCGGAAGAATATCTCCAGTTACAGTACCAGTACAGTGGTACCAGTACAATAACGCTCCTGAGTGGTCACAAAAATAGTTATTTGCCATCTTTTAAAATTAACCCAAAGACTGAATTTGGGTTTGTCATTATTTGCTTTTTTGTTATTTACATTTGTACATTTGAAAAGAATTTCTTAGATTATGTGTTTCTTCAATTCACATGCAACAGTATTTTGATTTTTTATAGAGAAAAGCATTTGATAAGAGGAGCATTCAAAATAACACTGAAAACCAACTAAATTTGAAATTGAAATAGTTTGCTCAGTTGCAGGTTATCCTAGCATAAGAAGGGTTAGCCTGAGATTCTGTCTTCATGAAATGATGAACTGTTCCTAATTATTTACTTAATTGCAGAGTTAAAAATAATTCCGTTAAAATTAATTTTAGCAAAGCAAGATAATAATGTATGGTGATTCAGTAAAATCGCATTTTAATTGAAAACTTGGTAGTTTTGTTATTTTAATGCTCCCGTTTCCCTTTTAGCAAGCTTTTCAAGGCAGTATTATGCTTGCTTCTTGCCACAGAACCCCTCCCTTATCTGTTGAGATAATGTAATTCAGCTCTGATAGCCTGCCTTACTTTTTAAGCTTTGTTTTACCTAAATTGGCTTGTAAATGTAGACATTCTTTGCATCAGAGAGTCAAAACTTTTAAGGTAAGTAACAACATTGAAGGTTGCAATTAATTAGTTGAAAGATGCTGTGACTGTACTCGGGGCTTACATATCAACTCTCTCAATTTTCTCTGACTACAGAGGCCAGTAATAGTAGCCATGAGTCTCGTATTGGTCTAGCTGAGGGTTTGGAATCCGAGAAGAAGACAGTTATACCCCTTGTGATCGTGTCAGCCCTGACTTTTATCTGTCTAGTGGTTCTTGTGGGTATTCTCATCTACTGGAGGTAAGTTGAGTGTTTGTTTTTGAAACTTCCATAAGGCTCAGATTTTACCCATATTTGATTGGTACTGTGAAGCAAATATGAAAAGCCTTCAAAGCATAGTCAACATTTTATTTTTTCCTTGAGAGCTGTCAATAATTTATTCTAGTAGCTGTGAACAAGGTGAATTTGTGAATCCAAAGATAAAAGATTTGATTGTTTTTCATACTTAATTAAAGGTAAATTGGAGGAAGCTTTACTTTAGTTAATATTTAATATAGTATTTTGGCAGTTATACTTTATTAATCGAATAACATTCAAATATTATCATAGCATTTAATATAAAACTAAGTTTTTCACTAGCTGTTATAAAAGTTATTCCAAAAGTTATTACTTAGGAAAACTTAATTTTTAATTTGGTAAGAAATATTGGTTTTTTTAAATAACAGTACAGTTTGTGTAAGATATATTTCAACGGTGCATACTGCTAACAAAATATGATAATCCAGGCACAAAAATAAAAATAAATCAACTAAAATATAAATAAAATTAAAAAATAAATTAGTGACTCTTCTTAGGTGCATGGGATTTTTTAATTCTTTGTAATTTGCCTTGAGGATGAAATACGGCTTCATTCTCATATATAACCTGTTAAAACCCTTTAAAGGACAAAGACAATTGCATCCATTATAAGCTTTCCAAGCTGTAGCAAGCAGAACACATATCAAATTAGCAAATTATTAGACCTATATTGTAAGTCAGTATAACTGTATCTGTTGGAAAACAAGGACTTTATGACGATATAAGAAATCTATAAACTAAGAAAGGGCATAGCTCAGTACTTTAAGCCTTTGTTTTAAAAGAGAGATTTTGATAAGCAAATCTACAGTTAATTCCTTTTTGTTTAGCAGTATCTTTCTGTAAGTTCATATTACCACTCTTTATGTGTTCTTCCAAAATATATTCTCTTAGTTTATTAAAAAATATTTACTGTGTTTATTAACTGTCTCCCGTGTGCTTAGTACTGTGTTAACTACTATGAAGAGATGTCAAAAACAAATGAATAAATGAGAGTCAGTGCCTTCACGAAATGTTTGCTCATTGGGGAGAAAGAATTTCCCATGAAAATTTTAGAAAATATCACACAAAAGTATGTAGGTAGCAGCTAAAATTGCTAATACTAATAGTGGGCAGAGAATGAGGGGTCTTGATAGGTCAGAATGGACAGGGTAAATGTAAAATGTAGGGTTTGAGATGGATAGGAGTCAGAAAGTCGAGATAAAGAAGGGCATTTCAGGCAGGGGCATAGCAGGTGGAAGGCCTGGAGGCAAGAATAAGTGGGATGTGTTGGAGACTATGAGGCCTGGAGGATGTAGTTGCATGTAGTTGGACATTGGTTGGCTAAGGTAGAATGATTTCATGGGTAACTGTATTCTATATACAGCTTCCTTTACCAAACAGAGTGACCTGCAGAGGATGAAGAACAGCCCATGCTTTTGTGATTCTACATTGGTTGTTGTTAGTTGCCTTCAAGTCTGCTTTGACTCATGGTGACCCCACGTACAATGAGGAAATGCTGCGTAATCCTATGCCATCCTCATGATTTCTGGCATGCTTGAGTCCGTTGTTGCTTTCCAACCTAGGGTGCTCATCTTCCAGCACTATCTTGGACAGTATTCTGTTGTGATCTGTAGAGTTTTCATTGGCCACTTTTCAGAAGTAGATCACCAGGTCAGGCGTTTTTTCCTAGTATGTTTTAGTCTGGAAGCTCCACTGAACCCTGCCCACCATGGGTAACTTTACTGGTACTTGAAATATATATCGGTAGCATAGCTTCCAGCATCATAGCAACACACAAGCCACCACAGACAGGTGGTAGCTACACGCGTTAGGAGTCATGATATAAACAAATCTGCTTTCTTCACTGTGTACCGTAGTCATTCCTATAATTAGCAATGATTTTTTACAGAAGACTACAGGTCTTGAGCCTACAGTCTACAAGCTATATCAGACCCCTCCATGTTCTTCTTTTGCCCAGAAGAGTGCTTGAACATAATCCATAAATGTTTGTTCAAGAATCCTTACTGCTTTTCTCCCCACTCACCAATGGACTTGTTGACCAAACTTCTTACCGACAATGATGTCGTCTTTGTTCAGATTATTGGTTTTTGTCCATTCTTATTTTTCCCGCCAAATCAATTTTTTTTTAATTAGTGAGAATTTGGGTTAAACAAATTTAAAATAAGGTGGAAACTTGGACCAAATTCTACTTCGTAGTAAATAGAGTTAGAATCAAGTTCCAGTAAAGGTGTCAGATTGTGTATAGTTATAAGACTGAGATAATTAGAATGAGTCTCTTAAATGCTACTATTTAGTAGTTCAAGTTTATTTTATGCAGATTTCAAAATCAGTGTCTTATTTGATATCATTTGATATTTTGTGGAGAATTAAAATCAGGTGTGATTTTTATCTTCTATGGGTCATCCTATCAGAAAAAAGATGAAATTAGCAGGTAAAAACATTTTAATCTGACATTCACCAATAAGATGTTTCTCTTTTCCTCACAAATAATAATGTACATTGAATATAGTGTTACTAGTTTAAAATATGAGTACTTTAATGGTTTTTTGTGTATACTTTGTAATATTTATAAAATGTTCTGATAAAATTTGTCACTCTTACACTTACCCATTTCAAAATTTAACATATTTGTCCTATGCACATCTGTTTGAAGTTAATTGACTTCAGAATGGAACTTTTTGGATCAGTAATAAATACACTAACAGGGGTATGGTTTGCTGAAGCACTAAAGATGACAATGTTAGTGCATTCTTCCATGTTTGTGTGAATTATTCAAATTCCAGTATAAAGTCATTTTTAAATGATGTAATTTCACTAGCCAATACGGAACCATTTTAAAGCTTTCTGGAAACTGCAGCCTATGAAAAGGTTTAAAAATCCAATGACATGCTAATAAGAATCCTAATAGCAATGTAGTCCTATGAGTTTTACAAGTAAATATATTTAAATGTTTACCTAATCTAATTTTTTGAAGAAAAAAAAATCAAACAAGAATGTAATAGATAATGCTCTCTTTAGTCTAATTTACCTAACTCAAGGTCGTTCCTTATGTTTGGATAAACCTTGAGAGAGAGCCTGTTTTAATAGAAGACCAGGGCAAACTAGAGGTGATAAAAATCTACGTCTCTTTCTCAATTTTGATATTTTCTGTAAGGCCTTGAGCATGTCACTTACCCACCTAGGAATTAGTTTCCTCTGTTCATCATTTGGGATGTGGGGTTACCAGATCATCTTTAAGATTGCAGCCAGACCGTCTTCAGGGGTTCTGTTATGAATGTGGCATATTGAATATTGTTTCATATTTGTATAAGGATACTAAGAAATGAAATAATAATTACACATGTCTAGCTTTTAATTCTAAATACTTGCTGTGATGAAAAGGTGTAAATTAAATAATCAAATTAACATTGATTGATAGGACCTATGTCTACAAGTTTAAAACAGTCATCACTTCTTTCATCATGGCTGAGTGATAATTAGCAGGGGACATAGTTATCAACACTTAGCACATAGATGTGAAGACATTGACTGCTTATACAGAACAGATGGACTATAGATTTTGAATCTTGTCATACATTAAATAATATGGCTGACATTATTTTCCAGATGTTTTAAGGTATAATTTACATGAGCCAAACCATAAGCTTGTAAGATACACAATGACTTCAACAAGGAAGAAGATTTTCACATAGTACTTTGAAAAAGACAAAGGGAAATCTTTTGAGAGCTTTTTTAAGTGTTAGAACCTAAAAAATACTAAAGTTATACTGGTGTTCTGCAAAATGGTGCACCCTAAAAAAGCAGTGTAGAAGAGAACTTTCCATAGACATGCTTGTTTGGGCTGGGAGAATGGGAAGAAAAGCAATATGAATTCTCTCCTGATCTTAAATTCAAATTCATAGGTCATTGAGGTTAGCTGCCAATCGAAAATGGAGGCCTCCCAGTACCGTGCTGCCTTCTAAGCAGAATGTCACTGCCTGTGTAAAACCACACTATAAAATTCAAGTGAGGAATATATAGATGCCCTTCATCCAGAGTTTATCCTATACTGTTTTAATTTTAATTTTTCCCATTTATAAGCTTTTTGGTGTGATTTATAAGGTTCTATTGAGAAATTAATGCCAAGTAACATTATTGGACCACTTATTTTCTAAAACCAACAAAGATTTGATCACACAGCTGAAAAGAGTAGAGTTAGTATTTACTCCGACACTGTAATGAACATTAGCAACATGCTAAACCTCAATACCAAGATGTTTTAATTTACTTTTTTCCACTGAATAAGATGCTGCCTTCTTCCCGTTCTCTTCATCATTGGCACATCCTGTATCTATCTTTCCATCCATTCATCCGTCTTTCTCTACCTATATATTCCATCGCTCCCGTCCGAATGTTTTAATATTCAGGTTATCTCATTTGAGACTCAGATACTCAAAAGGGTTTAGGATGTAGCTGAATAACGTGGTTGGTGGGATATACTTGCTACTAGAAATTCATGTAATCATTCAACAGACATTGAGCACCTATTGTACTCCTGGCACTGTATTAACAGTTGAGTTTACTTAATTCAAACATTGATTGATAGGACCTGTGTCTATTTGGATTCACAAAATTCAAAAGAATTGGCCTCTTTCTTTCGCTTTCTTTGTTGTTATTGTTGTTTGTTTGTTTCTTTAACCTATTTATCTATGCAATATAAAAACAAAACAAGTAAATTACAAGATAATTACCCTAACCACCAATTAATAAAAATATTTACAACAAGAGTATAGAATAACATCCAGGAAATGAAGGTCACCCCTGGATTGATTATTTTTAAAACAGTCTTCATAGAGACGAGTGTGAATAGAAGTCTGTGTCAAATATAGTAAAAACAGAGAAGCTGGAAGGCTGAAGTCAAATATAGTAAAAACAGAGAAGCTGGAGGGCTGAAGTCAGCTTAG